ACACCAGGGCTGGCAGCGGGCAAGTCTCAGGAGAGTGGGCCCCAGCGCCCACTCGCACAGCCCCTCGCCTCTCCCATCTCCCCCCCTCAGCCTCAGGGTCACTTCCCACCCTCTTGTCTCCTCTCATGCGAGGGTCCCTGTGTACCCACTGGTAAACCAGTCTCTCCTCCAAGGAGCGAGCTACAGGTGTGTGTGTGGGGGGGGGTGTGTGTGTGCGTGTGTGTGTGTGTGTGTCAGAGAGAGAGAAGGGAGGGAGGGAAGTGTGTCCCCAGACAACTAGAATTCCTTCTCCCTGAGCCCTTGCTGCCAACCCCAGTGCTGTCCCCCCATCTGTGAGGTCTCAACTCCAGCGCCACTGCCTCACAGAGGCCTCTGCTGACCCAAGTACCTGCAGTCACGAGCACCCCCTTACTTTTTTGACAGGCAGAGTTATGCAGTGAGAGAGAGAGAGACAGAGAGAAAGGTCTTCCTTTTGCCATTGGTTCACCCCCCAAGTGGCTGCTACGGCCAGTGCGTTGTGGCCGGCGTGCTGCGCCAACCCAAAGCCAGGAGCCTGGTCTCCCATGCGGGTGCAGGGCCCAAGGACTTGGGCCATCCTCCACTGCTTTCCCGGGCCACAACAGAGAGCTGGACTGGAAGAGGAGCAACTGGAACAGAATCTGGTGCCCCAACCGGGACTAGAACCTGGGGTGCCGGCGCCGCAGGCAAGGAATTAGCCTAGTGAGCCGTGGCACCAGCCTTACCCCCCTTATTTTTTTAAAAAAATTTATTTCACTTATTTGAAAGGCAGAGAGAATCTTTGATCCGCTGGTTCACTCCCCAAATGGCCACAGCGGGCAAGCCAAAGCCAGGAGCCAGGAGCCAGGAGCCAGGAGCCAGGAGCTCCATCCTGGTCTGCCTTGTGAGTGAAGGGCCTGAGTCCTGGGCCATCCTCTGCCACTTTCCCAGGTCTATCAGCAGGAAGCTGGATCAGAAGCGGAGCAGCCGGGATTGGAACTGGCCCTCACAGGTGGGATGCCCACGTTGCAGGTGGTGGCTTAACTCTCTGTGCCACAATGCCAGCCCCAAAAGCACTTTGTAAAGTCCTCTTAACTCGCCCAGCTTCACAAGTGACTCCTTAGGGGAAGCAGCGTGCAGCGAAGGGCTCTCGGGTTGACCTTGCCTGGACTGATTCTGAAGCTACGGCTGCTGCACTCAGTGCTGCATCCCTGCCAGAGGCTCCCCGGAGCCCCCACGGCCCCCCCATGGCTCACAGCCCCACATGAGCACTCCCCCAGGGTCGCTGTGTGTTCACTTTTGTAATCACTCATTCACCTCTGTGCAGGAATGACAAGGGTGAGCAGGACTAACACAGCCTGCTAGGGACAGCCCACAGGCCAGCGGGAAAGTGGGGCATCCCCTGCTGTCTTCCCGCAAGCAGAGGACTAGCTCCTCCCCCACCCGCCCCCATTCGGTGTTTAAGGAGCAATACAGAACACCGGTGACTCCTCACAGCTCTCGCATACAAAATCAAAGCGTCCCTAGAATCCCGCGGGGCCTTCAGATTTCAGGTTACAGGCTCACTTCAGAGAAAAGTGCATAACCCTCTTTGGTGGCTGCTCTCCAAAGCCGCCCCGCGGAAGGACGTGGAGAGCACTGGGCGCCCGTCTTTGAGGTGGAGAAGGTCCCGATGTCAGGGCTTGGGGAGTTCCTGGCGAAGTTCAGGGAGGCGTTCACAAAGCCTGGCCCTCAGCAGGTGCACTGAGCAGTTGTTGACTTCCTGCCTGTCAGCGTCTAGGTTTCCAACAAAAGAATCGAAACACTGGCTTCACACAAAAATGCTTCAGCAAAGTTAGCCAAGAGCAGCCGAACACCAAAAAGTTCAATTTATGTTCCTTAAGCAAATGGACAGCTATGTGAGAACATTTGCTAGTAGAAGCCTGTAATGGGCTGGTCTTGTATTTTTAAAAAGGAGTCTCCTTCAAGAGCAGTTCAGCTAATGGAAGAACCGTCTGTCCCTGCCTTGGCTCCCTGGGTCACTGGATTCATACAGGGGGTTGGGGGCCGGGGGCCAGGGTCCCTTCCTGTCTCCTGGTTGACTTCCTCCACATCTTTCCTTTCTTTCTGCTGGAATTTTAGACAGATCTCCTTGGTGAGGATAAACAGCCTTAGGGGGAAATCTAACACCAGGAAGGGCAGAGTACTGGCCACGGGATGGGGACGGGGCTCCCCGGGCACAGGGCTCACTGCTGTGGGACTTGATTATCGCACAGGGTCACTTTACCCAGCCAGGAGCCCCTCTCCTAACTCCACTCCCTCTGCTGGTGAAAATAACCAGAATCCAGGAACTGGAGGAAACGGGGCTGGTTAATGGGACCACAGAGGACGACAGGCCAGGGGAACAGGCTTCAGTCTCCAAAGGGTGGCATAGAAATCCTCCTGCACCAGCCCCCGTCTTAGGGTTTCAAGGCCATCTGTGAAGGCAGAGTGAACTGAGACCAGGTCTCACGCCACAGTGAACGGATGAACACCAAGCCGTGTGGGCATCAGCGGGCCTCAAAACGAGCCACGTCGGACACACTCAGAGACCCATAAACAGGAAGTCCTGCTTGGCTTCACATTAGACCTGGGCCCCGGCAGGGGAGGGAGGGTCCTGGTGGTCATGGAGGAGAACGTGAAGTCTGCTCCGGCAAGAAAACTGCCCCTTGGAGACCGGCAGTGGCCCAGGGGCAGAGGGCTGGAACCACGTGGGCTGCTGGCTGGGCTTTGTCACGTGTCTCGGGGGTCAAAAGCCTCAAGGCACCAGAGCTTTCTCGAGGTCCCTAGACGTCCAAGGTCACAGCCGTGTCCCTGTGGCTGACAGCAAGGCCGGCCCAAACCCCCAGTGCAGACTGAGAGAGGAAGGGGCTTGTTGGGCTGAGGGAATGGGCTAAATAAGGTGACTGAGAAGGCCGACTGCACGTGGTGCTGCGTGACCGAGCTCAGAAATGGTGACCTGCAGTTTTCTGTCACTTAAACCCTGGCGTCGTCTCACCTGCCTTCCCTTCCCCTGAAAGGCAGCCGGGTCCTCCAGGCCTCACTGAAACAGACGTTCAGGCAGGCTTGGTATTTTCCACAGCTTGCAAAGACAAAGCCTTCTGGCTGCTTGCATTTTAGCTTCCTTGAAGCCCTAAAAATGGTTGGCAGATCAGAAAGAACAGTCTTCAGTACCAGCCCCCGAACCCTCACACTGCTTCTTCTTTTACACTCAAGCTGTCGCTGTGTAAATGAAACAATTAATTCAGTCTTCTAAGACTGCGCGATGAAAGATTTCAGAGATGCAGAAAAGTGGGCTAATTTAACACTGTTCAACGTAAGAGGCAAAGCATGACCCCCCTGTTGAAGTCCCCTGTGTACCTCTCCCATCCCCAAACAACCACTTCCCTTCCTACACTGGATACCTCTCCCGTGCTTTTCTTCCCGTCCTACGGTTTTGTTGGGCGTGGTTTGAAACTTCACGTGAACCTCCTACTGTCTGCACTCATCTGAAATTGGCTTTTTCCTCTTGACTTTGTAACCATGAGATTCATCTCCGTGGATTTATCCACACAAAGACTTTCATATAAAACATTTGTTTCATACAGACATCATGCACATGTATATGAAAATTTAGCTAACCGTTCCTAAATATTGCTAAGCTGTTCTACAAAGGGGTTATTCCAGTGTTAATACTCACTACCAATATGTAAGAGTTCTCGTTGCTTGATGTCTTTGACAAAGCGCGATATCACAGTATAATTTTTGTAATCTGTTGGGCGAAGGGCACTTCCTTGAGGTTTCAGTTTGCATTTTTGGTTATTTGGGAGATTAAGTTGCAGGTGTTCAGCACCTTGAGTGATGTGTCGGTATCTTCTGACCGTTTTTCTGTTAGGAGATAGTTGTTTTCTCTCATTGCGCCACAGAGGTGCTTATGTGTTCTGAATGCTAGACCTCCCTCAGCCGTGTGCATTGTCAACCTCCCCCCTCCTCCTGCTTTCTCCTTGTACCTGGCTTATGGTGAGTTTGGGCACAGCAGATGTTGAGTTTTCATATAATTACGTGTTATCAGCCTCCTGCTTTTGCCTGCTCCAGATCCTGTCCCAGGACTGCTTCCCCACCTCAGGTTCCCGAGTGTCTTCTCCAACAGTTCCGTGCAAGGGCACCAGGTGTCGCATTTCACGTTCAGGCCTTTTATATCTTTCTGGGGTTAATTTTGCGTTGCCTTCATTGGAGGGGGACTGGTTCCAGCACCATGAACTGACCATCCCGACCCTGTCTCAGCATTTGTCAAGGCTAGTTCTGCCGCCTGCCTAGCATGGTCATGTTGTCCACCGATGGATGGAAGCCACCCTATCTCACCGTGGTTTTATGAAAGGTGTTGGCACCCAGCAAAGAAACTTCCTCCATCCCACGGTCTTCAAAACGCCTCCGGCCAGTTCTGGGAGCTCTGTGCTCTTTATCTGCTCCTTGGGGCTGCCCTTATCTAGCACAAGGGATTAAATGGCAAGACTTAAAGTGAGCAGAGGGGAGAAACGGTGTCAGAGCCAGCCCTGTATCGTCCAGAAACTGAATCTCTAAATTCCAATAACTAAGACACTGCTGTGTACTAATAAGTATAGGAAACCCATTGGTTAGGAAAAAAAAAAAAAACTTCTTAAAATATTTTCTGAGCTAAAATGAGGGTCAGGTAAAAAGAGAAGCCAGAGGCCATCCTGTGGTTACGGCCCACATCCTTGCCCTTTGTGAAAATCCTACTTTAAAGTATATTTTTGCATATAGCTAGTCAACAGAGAGTTGTATAAAACCGTGCTAAAGCTGTACACCCATCTCCTGGCTCCAGGGAGCAGCGCAGGCCAGCCTGGCCCTGGGAGGAACCCTGGGAAGGCAGCCTCGCTCTCAGGATGCAGTGTCCTGTCTCTCCTTCGGAGGGGAGTTCATTCCCTGCCAGGTCTGTCCCCGGGCACATGTCCCTGACGTCATGACTGCCGCTTGGTCTCCTGCAGTGTCTCCACATTCAGACGCTCTTATACGGACCACAGGACAAGAGGACCCTGGCCACCCAGCAGACCATGGACGATCTGGCCAAGTGAGTTGGCCTCCCCCAACCTTCTCTGAGTAGCTCGTCTCCTGCCACTCCGAATCTCAGGGGAAGCTGGTTCTGGAAGGTTCTGGGAAGGTTGTCCCGACTGCCTGTAACCTGCAGAGCTGGATGCAAGGCCGGCTCCTCTGAACGCCCACTTGTACCTGTCTTCCCTGCCCAGATGGGAGAAAAGGGACTTGCTGCCGAGTCCCATCAGAAGCGCAGGCTGTACGCCGTGTGCTCCTGTGGCTGCAGACCAGCCCACTGCAGGCTCACTCCCCTGTTGGACGGGGAGGGCGCGGCCTGCGTGAGACTCCCCTGGGCTTCCTGAGCCCTCAGGGGCTGGTCAGGATGGCATCTGGGCACCTGCTCACTTACCTGCAGGGCGGTCCCCATGACCCTGCTGAGCACGGGCCCAGCCCCGAGCCCGGAGACGCCCCCTGCCAAACGCGTGTCTGCCCGGAGCCCTGGGGAGACTGCCCAGTCCATGCTCAGGGCAGCAGGGCAGTGACCAGGGTGGGGACGGGGACCCAGCCTGCAGGGGACAGGGACGTGAAGGCCTTCTGCCCAGCTCAGCTGTCCCCTTAGGCCTGTGCTGCTGAGCCCGCTGGGGGCGGCCAGCAGGAGGGGAAAGGCGGGAGGGAGGCGTCGCGTGCTCTGTGTTCCATGCTGGGGCTCTGCTCTCACTTCCCTCCCTACACAGCCCCAGGGAGCACCCGAGGGTGCGCACTCACCCCACCCTCCCTTTGTCTGCAGGGTCACCGAGGTCGCTGTGAAGCCAAAGCCGACTCCGAAGGCCAAAGTGGCCTTCAACACCAGCGTCCCCGGGCACACGGCGCTGGGGAGGGGCAGGCCCAGCGCAGCCAACTGAGACCCCCGGCCCCAAGGCGGCTTCCGGTGGGCCTGGGCGCCACCCCTCGGGGTCTGAGCCAACCTCTCTCCCATGAGCAGATGGAATTTGATGGTTAGCGCGGACTTCCCAGGCCGACGGTGGACTCCGGCACTCATCAGAGAGACCATCAGCGCCCTGTGGGCCACGCCATGACGGGGCGCGGCCTTCAGCGTGACCTGGGGCCGCACGGCACAGTTTTCCCTTTATAACTTGCGGTGTCTTTCTGGCCAGCAGGGATCTGGGACCCAGCAGCACTCCTGAGGCTGAAAGACTTCTCTCCAGAGGCTCAGAACCTCCTGCGCGGGGGAGGCGGGCTGGGCCCTGCGCACACGCACAGCTGGCTGGGGTCAGCCTCGGAGCAAGAACCACAAATCTGGAAGAAGCCCCTTCTTACAGGAAGGGGGCAGTCCCTGAGAATAAACGGCTCAGGAAGGGACTTTCTGCAGCGCTGGTGTCACGGCCCGGCCTGGGTGGGCACATCATCCCAGTCGCCTGTTAACCGCGGGGGCCATTTGCAAGCTGGCCACTCGCTGTGGCTAGCCACGGGATGCCCGTGCCACCTGGGAACCCTGCAGAGTCCCCAGCCGCGGTGGGGGGGGCACGAGCAGGGCTCCCAGGCTCTGCACGGCGAGTGGAGCGAACCTCGCGAGCCTCGCGAGCCTCGCTTCCTTGTGCCCCTCAGGTACAAACCCAGGCAGGCTGGGCTCTTCAAGGGAAGCCTGCGTCAGAGCTCCTTGGAGCCAGAAGACGGGCGTGGGGACGCCGTCACTCACGGTGTGGTGCACAGCGGGCGTGGGCTAGTGCTAAGAGCAGGGACGCGACAAGAAAGGAGGCACACCCAGTCCTGCTCCCCCTCCTCTATGAGCTTGCAATCCAGCCTGGCCCTAGATGCAAAAGAGATATGGTGGGGGACTGCAGGGTGGGTGCTAAGTGGGCCCCACGTGGCCCTGGGGTGAGGAGGCAGGTGTAGGGCAGCAGAAAGGTGGGCACGGAGGGTTGTGGGGCAGGGGCGGTGACCCCCTGCTGCCCTGCATTCCTCCTGGATCCCCCACCCCCGGCAGGACAAACATGGCTGGGCCCTGGAGCTGCCGCTGCTGGAGCCGGCACGGCCCCACCCCACGCCCTGTCCTCAGGGCCTCCAGCCTGGAGTGAGGCAGCGGTGGAGAGAGAAGCTTTGAGCACCTGTCTCCACCCTGTGAACACGGCGATCGGGTGCTGGCAAGAGGCAGATGGATCACCTAGAGGGTGGGGGTGCGGGCATGGGCAGGAATACCTCTGCCCCTCTGGGACGGTGGCCAGTGAGGCCACAGGCAGGTGCTCGGACGGCCCCAGGATGACAGCCTGATGCCCTCCGGCCCCACGAGCAAAGCGGGGTACCACTCCTCGTGTGCGGGGAACCACCTCGAGAACTGACGGGGGAATCGACTGGGGGAGCTCTGAAGTGCAGAGAGGCAGGGCCCCTCCCTGGTCTTCCTGCGGAGCTGCGAGCTGACCCGCAGGCCGTTCCTGCTAACACCCACGGGTCCCAGAACAGGGGGCAGAAAGGTGTGTGGCTGTGGCCACCACTACCTGAGCGTCCTGTGCAGTCGAAGACGCGGGTCTCCACGTGGATGGGGGAGTGAGCATTTTCAACACGGACCACACGGGGGTGTGCCATGGACTGAGCGTGCCCCTCGCCTCCAGTGCGCGTTGAAGCGCCAGTCTCCAGGGTGACACTGCTCGCTGTCTGCCAGCAGGCTCTGGGGAGGTTGTTCCGTCAGGGGAGTGAGCCCTGCTGAGGGCACTAGTGCCTTTAAAAGAAAAGATGCTTCCCTGGCACCGTGGCGCAGATTCATCCTCCGCCTGCAGCACTGGCATCCCATATGGGCACCGGTTCTAGTCCCGGCTGCTCCACTTCTGATCCAGCTCTCTGCTGTGGCCTGGGAAAGCAGCAGAAGATGACCCAAGTCCTTGGGCCCCTGCACCTGCCTGGGAGACCCAGAAGAAGCTCCTGGCTCCTGGCTTCAGATTGGCCCAGCTCCTGCTGTTGCAGCCATTTGGGGAATGAACCAGTAGATGAAAGACCTCTCTCTTTGTCTTTCTTTCCCTCTCACTGTCTGTAACTCTGCCTCTCAAATAAATAAATAAAATATTTTTTAAAAAATGAAGAGATGCTTTGCCCTCTACAGCCGGCACCTCGGTGTCGGACTCCCTGCTCCGGAGCTGTGTGTGGTTTGAGTCCCCCAGGCTAGGGGCACTGTGTTAACAGCCACCTGCAGTACGGCAGAGCCCCTGCTGGGGCTTTGAAAGAAGTGTGAATGTGGCACCTGCTCCTCTCTGCGTCTCCTACAGGATATCCGGGATCACAGGAGCTAACACCCGGAGGCCCCACTCCGCACCACCCTGGAGGAAAGGAGACTCCAGCGTCTTCCACCAGACCTGGCGCCCCTCTGGGAAATGCGGTAACTTCATCAAGGAGGAAGACCGTAGCTGGCCACGTTTTTGTCTTTATGCTAAAAGATGGCCAACGGCGCCTCCTTTTGTCTCCAGCTACCAAAAACTCCTGGGAAATGGCCCTGACTCAGCCTCCAGTTGGCGGGCAAGGTGACCGAGGGCCCCAGGATTTCCCAGGACAGCCCTGGACTGAGCCCTGAGAGGCTCGGGTCCTGGGAAATCCCCTCTTCCGTGCGGAAAGGGATGGTGCTGTGCTTCCCAGGCAGCGGTGCTGGCGCATTTGCCACCAGCTGTCAGTATTCACAGCAACTCAAGTCCGTTGGTGTCTGCTCCGTGCACCCGCTTTCTGGTTTCTCGTGCCCCAGCACTGGTGCGGAGTCCCGAAGCAGGTGAGGAATTAGAGCTGGAGCTCTCACAGATGTTCTCCCAGGCGTTCTGTGCCGCCATAAGAACATGCACATCAACACACAAAACCATGCAGTCACACGCGTGCTTTAATTAGAGTTTAAAGGAGAAAGCGCACCAAAGTCTGCCGGAAAACATTCATTCTCTTTGGAACAATGCAGGGTTTTTTTTTCCCCTCAGATTTTTATTTTTACACATTCTTGTGACATTTCTCTTTGTAAGGAACAGCAGGTTAGCAAAATCAGCTTCTTAGATGGTTCCATTCTAAATATACATCTCGAACAAACAATAACAAACAACCAGCAGGGAGTTGAAAAACATTCGATGAACACTGCTTTGTCTAAACAACCGTGGGTAGGAAAAGACTGGCTGTGTCCCCACCCTGTGCAACCACAACGTCCACTTCCCCTGCCTCTGGAGGGACCGCTGTCACCTGCCACCATGCTCAGGGTTCCCCTGCTCCTGGGTGACCCAGGGACTAGGGAACCTGTGATAGCTTGGGACCCCGGGCTGAGCGGAACACTCCCTGAAAGGTGCATTCCAACTTGCAGGTGGAAATTAGGGTCCAGGACCTTTATCTCCCAGCGTAAGTAGAAGTGGCTCACGGTATTAGTGACCTGTGCCCATCGGCATCCATTTACAAGCTCATGGCCCAGGGTAGCGGCATCCAGCTCAGTGCACCCACACTCCTAACGGGCTCCTCATGGTCAGTCTGTCTTAACATCCAACAGGAGGCGGCCAGCTTGGCCACATCCTCATCCAGAAATCACTCACGCAAACACCATTACGAGTCGCAGCCAGGCCAAAGGCAGCGCACCCCTGCGGTGCACAGCAGCCCCCGCACACCAGCCCGGCGCGTGGCAGGCGGACCCCACGATTCACGCTGGCCGTCAAACCCAGCTCCGCTCTGCGCCCTGCTTCCCGGCGTTTTCAATAAGTCGTCTGGAAAGCTGTGCCCATTTCTCCTCCACTTCTCAATTAAGAAAATGCACTGTCCCCTCACCTAGCTGCTGAGGCATGAGCCAGACCCCTGGAGACGTGTGTGCCTTGGGGGTCCCAGGGCCACACGGGAAGCCGAGAGGGAAGCCTCCAGGGTCCGCACCCACACCTGCCATCACCACTCGTGCGTGACTGCTCAGCACGCTGCAGTCTTCCGTGACGCTACGTGAGAGGCTGCTGCGGCTACTACTTGTGAAGCTATGCTTTTAAAAGATGGAAACTGAAAACAATACTGATGTGCAAAATAAAACAAACCCAACAGCACACGCTCATCTTCATCTCTTAAACTGGGTGGCGTACAACTACAGGTCCACGTTCCGTGGTCCGTGGGGGGCCACCATCACCCTCCTCCGGGACCCGACCTGGGTGCCCAGCACTGGGCTACAGCAGAGGCACCCGTTCCTTCCCCAAAGCATTTTATCCTATTTCACGTAGTATTTGTTTCCCTGGACAAACCCCCCAACTGCAACGATTTCTACTGAAAGTGCAAACATCTTCCACGTGGGTTAGCTGGCGGCTGCTGCTCCTGTTTCACTGCTTGAACTCAGACCGCCCCTCGCAGCTGTGGGCTGCCAAGGGATCCAGGGAGGCACAGACACCTTGCGTTCCCGATTTCCCTGGACTGGCCCCATTGCCAGTCTAAGCTGTGGTCTCAGCGTCAGCAACCTATCTTCCGGGTCTACCTCCCACCAGTGAAAGACAATGTTTGGAGCCAGGGACTAAGGTGCAGAGCAGGTCAAGTTTATGCCCTGGTAGGAGCTGGCTAATCCAGACCTCGGATCATAACAAACTGGGCACTGCCTAACGACCTAGTACCACACACACACACACACACACACACAAGAACGGGACCCCAGCGAGTCCCAGTGCTCCTGTCCCCTGCCCGTGGGTGCAGCGCAGGGGCACCTGTGCAAACACAGCACGTATGGTCTGAAACACTGCAGCTGACAGCTGGCCTCTCCATACCATAAATAAGGCACTGTATTCTTAGGTAGAAGGCAATTCATTTAAGCTGCAAAATGAATTTTATGACAAGTCACTTTTGGCTAAAGATGAAATTTCACACAATTTTTAAAACATGAGCAGTTTGCGTATTTCTTATGATTTCTTGTTTGAAAGACTTTGGAAAGAGAAAAATGTATTTATTTTTCCCTTAAAATGTTAGTATATTATTTATATTAGCACATGCAAACAAAATTTACTCTTAAAAAATGTCACTTTAACTGGGTTAATGTTTAGGCATTTGCCTACGGATGACTGATTAGAGTTTCAAACAGATGCAACCTATGTCTGCAACCAGCCAAATAGTAGACATCGTCTCCACGCGTGGAGAGGAGGCTCCTTGGGGAGACTCCAAGAAAGGGAGCTTTATAAGACTACAAAGGTAAAAAGTGCTTTGTAAATTCCCAGCTCGTTAACATAATTCCAGCGCCTCCTACGGCCTGGATCCATGTGAAGCTTTGCCTGATGACTCCCAAGTACACTGCCCTAGTCTGCAGTGCTCTGCAAAGAAAGGAAAATGGGGGAGGCCTTGGGACCCCCGCCCCGGCCTTAGAGTAAGCAGCGGCCTCCGCCCCTCGGCCAGGTGCCACTCACAACATTTCTGCCCATCAGAACCAGTGTCCGTCGCTCTCCTCCTCCTCTTTGTCGAGATAAAGGAGGGCGACTTTCTTTTCGTCGGACACCACCGACCTCTGGTCCACCATCCTCTGCAGCTGCACCGTCTTATCAAACCCGGCCCGCTCCTCGGCCTCCTCTCGGGGGGCCCCGGCCGAGCCAGCATCGCTCCGGGCGCCGCGGGCCAACACGCCGTGAGCGTCTGTGTCGGCCTCTACACGGCTCACAGCCATCTGAAAGGTAAAGGAAGCTTCTTTGGGCCCCAGTGCCAGCAGCGTGCTGCCCGCTGCCTGGCCCGGCTCAGAGGCACCTGCTGAGCCAGCAAGGGCAAAGGCCCCGGTCACGGGTGCGTGGACGAGCAGCTGTCCCGGGGCGCTAGCCTCCGCAGGACCCAGCTGGATGTGTCTGAAGGACCTGCTGAGGCCTGCGCTCACTTCTGCCCCTGCTGCGTCCCCCGGGCCGTCCACAGCCCTGTGCAAGGTGCTCTTTTCAGCCACGAGGACTTTTCTACCCACAGTGTAACTCCGTGTGGCCTGGGTGGCGTCTGCCGAGCCCTCACTGGGGCCCGAGCCCTCTGAGCCACTGAGTTCCACGGGCCCAGGCGCCCGGCCGTGGAAAACTGTGTGCTCAGTGGCCTGGGCCCCGACACGGACATGCCTAATGGCCACGCTGTCCCCTGGGCCCTCGTCTCGGGGGTGCCCGGAGTCTCCTGGGACACCCAGCTCCCCCTGCTCAGAGAAGGGGACTGTGAACTCGATGTGCTCACGGGGCCCTCGGGTAGGGCCTAACTGAATGTGGCTTACAGAAGTCTGGGGAGCCACGGGCCCTCCACCCCCCTTCCCGGCCCCAGAGGCGGAACCCCGCACCACCACTTCCTTCTCGGCACGAAACTGCTGCCCAAATCTGTCCGCGTCGGCGGGAGGCTCTGCCAGGCCAGGCTCTGCTGTGCCCAGGGCCTCCTGCCAGGCCGGGCCAGGACCTTGGAAGATGACTTCTTGGGACATTTGGCTCTGCTGGGGACCCAAGGTGAAGTGCCTCACCGACCGGCGGGCTCCCGCCAAGCCGGCCACCTGACTCAGGTCACCTCCCGCACTTACCTCCCCTTCGCCGGCAGCGGGTCCTACGCGGGACACCTGCTCAGTCCTCCAGATGTGGCTGGGGCCCAGCTCCACGTGCTGCGCAGACCGGCTCACGTCCTCCAGCACGGGAGACTGGGCCAAGCCCGTGGGGCTGCTGACTTCCACAGTGGCCGACACGGGGCCCTGGGAAGCCAGCAGGGGCAGCCCGGCGTCTGCCCCGTCCCCTGAGGGGCTGTACAGTTCCCTGGTGGCCCAGCGCTTGAAGCGCAAGCCGGCAGCCGGGGCTTCCGCCCTGGTGTCCCCAACGTCCCTGTCCGGGCTGCCCGGCCCTGGGCTGCGGCGCCTGGCCAGGCTCTCTCGCACCACCGACTCCACAGCTTTCTCGATCTCCCCAGCATCATCGTCTCTGCTCAGCTCCTCCAGGTCCAGCTGATCGGCGTCCACGGTCTGGGAGAGGTTGACCTCTGCGAGCAAGGTCACGGACCCGCCGCCCGAGGCCTGCACCTTCCGGACGTCCACCGAGACGCTGCCCGGCTCCCCCTGGGCCTCCCTGGTCAGGGCCGACAGCTCCTCCCTCATGCGCGCGGGCAGGGTCTCCTCCAGCTGCCCGATCACCTCCACCATCTGCTCCCGGGGCTCCTTGGACAAGACGCCCTTAATGGAGCTGCGGAATTCTTGCGGGATCTTGATTTCCTTCTTGATGACCGTGGGTTCAACGTGAAATTCGCCACTGGCTTGCTCTTTCCAGTGCACGGAGGCCACGTCGCCCTCCAAGGCGGCCGCGGGGACGTCCACGGCCTGCACGAACTTCTCTCCGTCCGCGCCGTCCCTCTTCCTCCTCCTCCACGTGCCCGGCACGATCTCGTCTTGCCACGAGTACCTGATGCTGGACTCCTCCTCGATGTGGATCTGCCCGTACACCGAGCCCTCGTCTCTGTCCTGGCCCCCGGGGTGCTCGTCCGGAGTGGACACAAAATAGCTCTGCTCCCCCTCCGAGTCACCTGCCTCCGTCACCTCTTCCACGTGAGTGCTGTTCTCGGCGGGCCGCCCAGCCCCTTGGCGCTGCTCGGCCGAGAACGTGACCTCGCCATCTGTGTCGCCTTCCTCTTCCTCCACAAGCCCCCTGGAGCTGGGGGCCACGTCGTCGACCTCCTCCACTTGGAAGGGGGTGGGCGGCTCCTCCTCCCTCTCCGCCCCCACGTAGCTCATGGGCTCCTCAATGATCTCCACGTTGACGACCTTGGCTCGCCCCTCCCTGCCCTTGAGCCCTAGGTCAATGATGTCACTGATCATCCGCTCGGCCGACTTCCCCTTCAGACCCACTTCCAACGCGCCCTGGCCCAGGAGCGAGTCCAGGCCGGCTTCATCAGAAACGTCGACGTCTTCCGTGAGCTTCGACTCCACCACGATTTCCGTCTTGGTCTTCCCGTCGCGGGGCAGCTCTTTCCGGCCCACGTAGGTGACCTTGGTGTCGGGAAGAGGATGCGCAGGGGCGTCTCCGTCGGGAGCCTGCGTGAACTGCTTGAGGATGCTGGTGACGATGTTTTCGGCTATGGTCTCTGTCGTGGACTCGCCCTGCGGAGAGCTGCTGGCGTCGCTGGTGCCCAGCCGGAACCGCGTCTCTCCTGTTCCCACCTCTCCACCTGCGCTGTCACCAGCACCCTGCCTCCCGGGCAGCCTGCCGTCCTGGGACACCTGGAGGCTGATGGGAACTTCCCGCACGTGTGCGCTCTCTCCCCTCGGGGGCTCCTTCCCTCTGGCCTGTTCCAGCCTTTGCTGGCTCTCTCTCTTCCGAGCTTCCTTATCTAACTTGGTCAGCTCTTCCCACCTTAAGTTCCTCTCCTCCGAGGCCTTCTCTTTAGAATCAAACATCTTCTCTCTCCTCCCCTGCTCCCGCGTGGTCTTCTCTTCTGTTTTCTTTCCCACGGTGACGGTCCTCTCGTCCGGCCGAGCGCCATCAGATGCACCTGTCACGGTGACGTCGCGGCGTTCCCAGTGCGACTCGTGAGTGCCTTTGGCCAAATAGGCGGAGGCATCGCTGGCGCCTTCGGGCTTCGGCCTGTCGGGGAAGGTCTTCCCCCGGGCCTCGGAGTTTCTGAGGAGACCGTGGGCCGGAGAGAAAGGCCGGAAGCCATTTGGACCGTCGATGGCTTTTCCGTACGTGTACTCCTGCCGGGTGGTGGTCACGGATGAGTACCCGGAGCCCGAGACACCTCTCCCCGCGGCGCTTCTGCTAAGCGAGGCCGTCTTTGGCCCCGGCTGCCCCACCAGGGAGGAGGCCAGAGCCGCCTTCTGCCTGGCAAACAGATTCCGTTGGTTTTCCCTCCGCACCACGGAGTCGCTGCAGCGGTAGGAGGCGCTCCTGAGCTCTGCGGGAAGGGAACACACGGTGGGTTAGGATGGCCACAGCACTGCCCTCGTCCCATCGCCACAGCCCCATCCGTCATAACGGAGGTGTGGCATCACCACGGTGGGGTCGCCGCCGCCAGCGCTCAAGGCGTGTCCCCAAGGCTGTCATGGCACCATGCAGCACCACAAAGGCCAGCAGCTCCCTCGGGTTACAGATCTCCCAGCGCTCATCCGTCTGAGCAGAAATACCGGGACGTGGTCCTAGCATGGCTCACGAGACCCCGGGGCCGGGGTGCTCGGTGTGGGGGCTGAAACTCCACGACCTTGCACCTTGGGACCACTCCTCTCCCGTTTGCTGAGGGAAGTTTGGTGTCCTTGTTTCCCGGCAGAGAAGGAATCTATGTAATTGCCCAACACCAAAGCCTACACCCGGCCACCATTCAGCCTGCCCTCGCTTTTCGCTGATTTCGAGCCTAAGGGGATTGAAGAATATTTTTAAAGATTTTTTTAAAAATTTATTTGAGAGGTAGAGTTACAGACAGTGAGGGGGAGAGACGGAGAGAAAGGTCTTCTGTCCATTGGTTCACCCCCCAAATGGCCGCAACGCTGGAGGTAGGCCAATCCGAAGCCAGGAGCCAGGTGCTTCCTCCTGGTCTCCCATGTGGGTGCAGGGCCCAAGGACCTGGGCTATCCTCCACTGCACTCCTGGGCCACAGCAGAGAGCTGGCCTGGAAGAGGGGAAACCAGGACTAGAACCAGCGCCCATATGGGATGGCGGCACCACAGGCGGAGGATTAACCTGCTGCACCATGGTGCCCGGGGATTGAAGAATTTAACTCTTAAAGCTTTCTGGTTTCTTGGATTCTTTTCTTAACACTTGACAACCTCCTCAACTGAAAATAGGCCAGGGTCCGGCAGCCTGGCTGCAACACTGCCTTCAGTTTTCGCGTTACCATCCCAGCCTGGAGGCCACCTGGGGGAGTCCGGCCCTGCCTGGGGAAAGTGCTGCCCCTGGGCCTTGCTCTTGACACTGGCAGCAGTGAGGCTGTGGCCGGGGGTGGGCCTGTGGCCCGCACTGGAGAACCCAGGTTCAGGTCCAGCTCTGGCTCCAGCTTCCTGCAAATGCAGACCCTGGGAGGCCACAGTGACGGCTCCAGGACTTGGGGTCCTGCCACCCACGTGGGAGACCTGGGTTGCACTCCTGGTTCTCACCCCAGCCCAGTCCCAGTTGTGGGGATTTGAGGAGTGAGCCACTAGATCAGAGGTCTCTCTCTCTCTCCCTTTCTCTCTCCTTCTCTCTCTCCCTCTCTTTCTCTCTCTCCCTCTCTCTCTCTCTCTCTCTCTGCCTGTTCTCTGTGTGTCTGTTTCTTTGCCTATCAAAAAAAAAAAAAATAGTGAAAAATGTGATTCGAAGAAAAAGGTGGCCAGGGCCCAGTGCTGTAGTACAGCAGGCTAAGCTGCCACCTGCGACACCAGCATCCCACAGGAGCGCCAGTTCGAGTCCTGGCAGCCAGTTCCAGTCCGGCTCCCTGCTGGTGCACCTAGGAGAGCAGAAACCGCTGCTCCTGGCCCCGGGCTCCAGCCTGACCCAGCCCCAACTGTTGCAGTCATTTGGGAAGGGAACCCGTGGATGGAAGCTCTCCCACTCTGCTCCTGTCTCTAACTCTGCCTTTCAAATAAATAAATACATCTTTAAAAAATGAGGTGACTAAGTAAGCCTTGAAATCTGGTGCATGAATACATCCTATTGATCCAGCTTCCCCACCCTCTGCCTCCTAACAGGGATTTCATCACACGGAACATGTTTGGTAGCTGAAAGAGAGACAGCCTCCTGTCATCTGATAACCCCGCTCCACAGCCTGCTCCCCGAGAAGCGCTGCCTTGCCGTCTGCCGTGACGAGCATTTTAAGGGGACCCTTCGCTCCGCTTGCTTTTACCTGGCAGCGTGCTCTCCACATGCTCGGTCCAGACCAGGATCTCGGGGTTACTTTCCCCTTCCAACAAGGCCCTGTAAAAAATCATTTGAAAAGACGACCCATTAGGAAACAGAAGCACGGGCAGTGCCTCTTGCAAGATGGATCACGTGGCATCAGGCCAGCGACCACAAGATCAAAGTGCCACGTGTCTCGACTCTCAGCTGGAGCGGGGGTGGGCCAGCAGGGTGCTGTGCCCTGGGGTGGCGTCCAGCCAGGGGCTGTGGTGTGGGGTGGCGAGCCCACCTGGCAGCACCCACACACCAGGGCCAGGCTGCGCTGCTCACTGCCACGTCCCTGGCACCCACACGGCGCCTGCCATTGACAGACATTCAACTGATGGCTGCTGACTGCCAGGGCTCTCCCAGTCCTGCAGGGCCACACCCTTCTGCAAAGCCTTCCAAGCCAGGGCAAGGGGGAGTGGGCGCAAGATGGTCCTGGAGAGAGGGGCCAGGAGGGGAGGTCGGGCGGTAGGGAGGGGCCCGTGCCCAGCATGTCACCCTGGGCGAGGGGGCCCCGGGACAGTTACAGCCCCCAGGGGTCTCCGTGGAGTCCCAGGTGGGAGGCAGCCTGCGAAGGCCGACCAGGAGCAGAACAAGGGCTGACACTGCTCCCTAAGTAGCAGCCTGCACCTGTGGGCCTCAGACTGGGATCCGCGGGACATCTTGGAGATGGAAGAGCAGCAGAGACAGAAGACGGGAAGCAGAGTGGTAGACCCTCTTCCCGCCCACCCCCAGGCCCCACTCCTTCCTCAGGGACATCCTCTTGTCTCCTTTAACAAAGCGTGGAAAGAGCCTGACCAGGCAATTTCTTTGGCTCTGTCTAGCTTCAAAATTCTAGAATTCTAGAATCTTCATGAAGCAGCTATTCCTGTCACTCAGCACTGAGAGCGGGGGTCAGCCCCAGGTGCCCACCAGCCGCTCCCTCCTGGAGGCCCCCAAGGCTGCAGGCAGCCCCGGACACAACTCCAGCTGTACGGGCCATGTGTGACGTCACCAGCCCCAGTCCCTGGTGACGGCCGAGGACGGCGGACAGGAGCCCCAGCCCACTTGCCAACGCAGAGGGCACCGCTGAGCGCTGTGCTGGGGGTCAGAGGAGGGAGCCCAGGTCCCAGCAAGGACCTGGCAGCTCAGCCAACCGATGTCCCTCTGAGTCGGACACCGTCCCCATGCAAGATGAGAAAGCCAAGGTGGCCACAGGGAGTCTTGGAGGTGCACACGAGTGGGCCTGCCGTGAAGACACTGGCTCACACACGCATGCGCACACACACGTACATGTGGCACCACAGGAAGCCCAGGGCCCTGAGGCCAGAGCCCAGCCCTCCCTCCGGGGCCGGAGCCAGGAAACAGGACACCGGCCCATCGTCCACGCCCTCATGACCAAGCACTTTAGGTTCCAGCAACACAGATGGTGTCCACGGCCTAGGAAACCCTGAGGTCCATGTAATCAGAGCCAGGCCCCGGGGGTCTGCGCCCCAGGACGACAGCAGCCGAAGAGGTAGCCCCGTCCCGGTCCAGCGCCCCTGTTGCCGGCTCAGCAGCGGCCTCGGCCAGAGCCTTCTGCCTGGGCTGTGCGGTCAGGAGGCCCCAGTGCCAGCTCCGTGCGGGGGAAAGGGGCTGCGTCCGCCACATGCCTCCCAGCGACACCATTCTGTTCCTCCCTCGGGAAGCACAGGCCTCAGTGAACGTGTTACTGAGTTCAGGACCCTGGGCAGGTGCAAGGACCTGAAGAAAGGCACGAGACCCCACACCGGGCCGGAGCCACAGCCCCGATGACCCCACGCCGGGCCAGAGCCACAGCCCCGAGGCCACCCACTTGCAGGCCTCTCCTGACCCCGCTGACGCCAGGCCCCACGCACAGGGACTTGCGAGGTCCTCGCCACCCAGAGCACAGGGCCTGCGCCCGCATCTTCACACCCAGCAACTACACGGTGCGCAGAGACAGGGTCCTGGCCACGGGCGCAGGCTCACCAGGAGGAGAGAGAGAGGCGAACGCAGACGGCCGGAGCCCGCAGCCCTCTCGGCAAAGCCACCGGCCTCACTGCGAGGTCTGAGCCGGCAGTGTCTCCCGCAGACCCCGGCAGGTGCACTCCACATGGACCACCACTGAGAGTATGATGCCCTACTGGGGAGGGAGGGGCTCCTCCTGCAGTCCCCGCTCAGTGGCTGGGTGCCAGCAAGCACATGTCACCTTCTGTGCCCAAGAGCCCACCGTGGGGGCCTGAACGCACAGTGGAGCAACGGCCACCAGACTCACACCTTGGTGGCAGGCCCGCCAGTCTGCAAGTGACGTGGTGAAGGCAGAGAGGGGTGGCCAGGGAGGATTCCTCCAAGGCTGCTCCAGAAATGTCTGCAAGGAAAAGGTTCCCACAACTTCAACCAACGGGCAGAACATTCTCTGCCGCTCTCATCAAACCTGGCTGTTCTAAGCTGTGGCCGAAAGCTGTCTCCAGGCCCTGGAGACAGAGAGACGTCAGCCCGGCTCCTGGCTCTCTCACGGCTCTGCCTGCAGGAAAACAGGCCACCGCACTGGGAGAGCCCAGGCCTGGCCTGGTGATGGGCCAATGCAAATCCCCAGCGTGCAAGGGAGCTGGGATGTGGCCTCTGGCCAGGCTCCAGGCCCTAACAGGCCACCCGGCATCCTGACCAGGCCGGCCGCAGGGCTCTGTGCCTGGGTAGGTGATGCCATAGCAACCGCAGGGCAGCTCTGCAGGAACCTCAGGGCCGTGTGCACACGCACCGGAAATGGGAACGGGAATGAGGGAGGAGGGGCAGGCAGAGGAGGTTTCCAGAAGCAACGCCTGGGCAGAGCCTGTTGGTGCCTCCTCACCAAAAGCAGGCACAGAGCTGGGGAGCAAAGCGGAGGCCGCAGACCAGACCCTTGCAGCTGCAAGCTGAGCCTCAGGGCCGCTTCAGCCTCCTCCCCGCGCACGAGGGCGGAGGCGCTGCCTGGGTCCCCTGGCCGTGGGACTGTGTCTCAGCTCACTGGAAAGAGAGCTGAGTGCAAGGGTGGGGCGAGGGCCACAGCCGCCCCTCCTGTTCCCACGAGGAGCTGTCTTTAGAGAGGAGACAGGGAGGCCACGGTGCCGAGCCGCTCCTAGGTCAGCCCTGGAGACGGACACATCAGAGGATCAACAGAGGCGGAGGGGGCACAGAGCAGGTGCACAGAGCAGGTGCATGGGTTCAAATCCCGCTCCTGCCACTGGTTCTGGGACCCGGGGCTGTGACCCAGTCTCCCCGCTTCTGAAATGGGGAGCACTCCCAGGCTTGTGGTGACAACAAAGCCACGCTGCCACAGCCTAAGTGCTCAGGACCTGTCCGTCATCACTGGTCCCCATCGCCAGCCCCTCCTCCACCGGGGGCAGGGATTCTGAGTCGCCTCCACCTCAGGGCCAAGCGAATGTTGCTCTTTTATTTGGCTGATGCCCAGACGAATTAACACAGCCTCTCGATGAGGTATTCTCAGCATGACATGACTTTATGAATTCCAAGTATTACACCTGGTAACAAGGTAGGTCTCAGGGCTAACACACTCCTATGAGTCTTTTAAAAAATAAGATTTAACTGAAAAAAAGGTACTTCTCTAAAACCCCAAGAAACCCCTGAGAACTGTTTTCCTTTGAACTCACTCACGAAAGGGACAGGTGACATAAAGAGACAGGTGGCCTAAAAAACCATGGAGTAGCAAGAGATATCATCAGGAGAATGAAATTATAGTCAGTCCATCCTCCCCAGAGTCTACACACAGCAAAATAGACGAGAACAGTGGGGCTGGCATTGTGGATTAAGTTGCTATCTATCTGGGACGTCAGCATCCCATATGGGCAGCTCCAGTTCCAGCCCAGCTCCCTGCTAACGCACGTGGGAAAGCAGCAGAAGATGGCCCAAGTACTTAGGCCTCTGCCGTCCCATCGGGAGACCTGGATGAAGCTCCTGGCTCCTGTCTTCGGCCCGGCCCAGCCGAATGGCTGTTGTGGCCATTCGAGGAGTGAACCAGTGGATGGAAGATCTCCCTATCTCTGTCTCTATCTTTCTCTGTAACTCTTCCTTTCAAGTAAATAATTATATTTTTTTAAAAAATATATTCAGGAGAAAAAATTCCAGTAAGTTCCATAAAGCAAAACTTGAATTTGTCAAGTGCCGGGTGCTACCCTGAACTCAAGGGAAGGAAGCCATGTGTGGCACAGGCGCTGCCACCTGCTGTTGCGTCACGGCCTCAGGCTCTCCCAGCACCGCTGGCCGGAGCCCGCCTGCCACCTGTCTCGGCGCTCACGTTGGCGTACTTAGGCCTAGAGTGGAAAAGTCCAGACTGAACATGTACAGACTTTTTTCCTTGTTGTTACCCCCTAAAAAACTCAGGACACCAACTACGTACACAGCACGTAGGTGCACACGTCTCCTGGAGCTGGTGTAGTGTACGAAAGCAGATGTGCAGGATCTGTGCAAGAACCAGGCCGCGCCACAGAGGGGACCTGAGCACCTGCAGCGTTTGGTATCCTCGGGGGTCCTGGAACCAAGGCCCCGCTGACACCAGGGGACGCTGGCATGAGCATCGGGAGTTTGCGCTGCTTCCCCAGCCAGCTCAACAAGATGAGACCAAATCGCGACCCTACACACCCTCCCCTGGGGACACAGAGAATGTTTTTTGATGCTGTTTTCTATGCAACTTTCTAAAGGGACTTTTGCCTTAACAGCGTATGGCTGATGGCAGTGTATTGCCTCGGGAAGCTACTGCTTATCCGGCTGTGCCTCTTCGGCACGTCCTTGGCCTGTCACACCTGGACCAGGAGGTCACGCCAGCAGTGAGAGGCTCTTGGGGGCCTGCCGGGTCTGGATTTTGCCACCATTTTTGCCGTCTTCAGATTCCCCACCAATCCTTCCCAAACACCCGCTCTGCAGAGAGGGCTTGGTGCTCCTGGAACCTAAATGCTTGGTCTAGGCTGTGCCGGCCACTGAAAGGAGCCCAGCCCTCCCGGCTCAGAGCCGGCTCTACCAGGGCTGCCGCCTGCTTGAGATCTTCATCACTGCACCCCAGGAACCAGAGGAGCCCCCTGAGGCCTCTCTGCCCCAAGCTCCACACCCCAGCTCCTGGAACTGCCTTCCTCCACCACCATCAGCCCTGGCCTGAAGCCCCAGCTCAGGCCCCTGGCCTTTGGGGACCCTGTCCCCCTCCCAGACCTCTGCCCAGTTTCTGACCCCGACTTGCCACATGCAGGCCCTCCCAATTCATCTCCCCGTGTCCCCCGCCACCTGCAGAGCCCAACTCAAACCCCACAGGCTTTGAAGGGCTCCCGTAATCACCTGCGCCAGAGCCCTCACTGTCTCTGAACGTCTTTGCTTGCCGCGGGCTGGCAGCGGGGCATCTGCACTGCTTCGTCTAAACCTGCAGTCCGGTTTCAGCAGTGCGTCTGACTCCGCACCTAAGCTGTCCGCGCCCCTGCTCTCCCAACCCTCCTTGTCAGCTCCTCCCCGTGCACCTGTACAAACCACCCCTCCCCCAAGACCTGGGTCAGTCACTTAACCTCCCTCCAAAGCCTTCCCTGATTCTTCCCTGATTCTGATCCCTGGGAACCTGGTCTTAGTGCGTGGTTTGCCGCATTTCTTGTTTGCTCCCTCGCAGGGCGCTATTAGGTCCACATTGCCTTATCTACGTGCTGTGTGCCGAGCACCAGAGGGCACAGCCCCCAGCTCACGAAGCACCCCTGGCTTCCCAGGTGTGACTCTTGCCCATCCATCGCATGCAGCCTTCCGTAACTGCCCCTAAAACTGAGCTGCACAGGGACATGCAAATGCCTGGCATAGCCCCAAATGTCACACTAGCTCAGTCCTCGGCTCCTCACCCAGGCTGTTCCCTCTAACAGAAAATCCACACAGTCAGGTACCGGCTTCCCTTCCTGCAAGACCCAAGCATCACCTCTTCCAGGAAGCCCTCTCTGTATCCTCGTTGGCCTCCCACCATACCCAGCACATCATCACCCTAAAAATGAAGACCAGAGCTGCATCTTCACCACCTTCTGCCCACGGCATCCCAGTACCACCGGCACCTCCCTGTCTAACTCCAGTCAGGAGAGCACAGGGTGAAGCCTGAGGTTAGAAACCTCAGGGCCAGTTCTCGGGCTCTCTACTTCCTGTGCGAGCTTTCAGGTGACAGCCTCCTTGAGCGGGTTTCACCTCTTCGGTGAAGCTGTAGAAACTGGAAACCCTGTCTCCAAAGCTCTTAGTGCACGGCAGGTGGAAAACAGACCCAGTGACCGCGGATCAGGTCTGTGAGCAGAAGGCGATGCTACACCCAGGCCACACCTGGCGACCTGCAGCAGGTGTAAAACCACACCCGGTCCAACCCCACACACATCTAATCAGACTCTAGGCTGGGCCCAGGACTCGAAGCTTCTCCAGGTTCTCCAGGTGACGTTTGCACAGGTACGGTCCAGGCTGGGAACCACACCCGGTCCTGGATCTGAGCCTCTCCGCTCCAACCACCTGGCTGCCCACTCACACGCAGGTGGATGAGCACCTGCAGCCCCCACAACCACCTGGTGACAGAGATGGGGGAAGCCTTCGGGTGGGGCACACCTGCTCCCCTCCAGCTATCCGCAACCCAAGGTGCCCTACGGCTACAGCCAGCCGCCACCTGCAGCGTGGGAGCCGAGGACAGCGCCAGGGCTGCAGTCTGCTGGTGCTCCAAGGTTTCATTCCCATACCACCTGCCCGGCGAGGTGCCAGCAACTTCCCCAGCCACACACAGAATAACAGGATGATGGAAACCTCTGGGGGCAGGCACTGTGGCATAGCAGGTTAAGCCCCTGCCTGCAGTGCCAGCATCCCATATGAGCACCAGTTATGTTCCAGCTGCTCCACTTCTGATCCAGCTCCCTGCTAATGGCCTGGGAAAGCACTGGAAGACTAAAGGTGCGGGCCTGGGAGGCTGTGTACCTAGGGCTGCTGGGGGCCATCCTGCCAGCAACAGGGCCAGGACACGGTCAGCCTCTCCCCGCTACCTGCACCCCCGCTCCCATGAGAACCTCCTTCCTTTCCAGACCGGAGCCAGTGCACAAGGGGTTCTGTCACCCACAACTGAGAAACCCCCAGCGAGGGATATCTCCACCCCACCAAAATATAGCCTGACCATGCCAAGCTTCCCATCTTGGTCAAGTCCAACTGTGCGGGCCCCACTGATTTACCTATGGGACCGGTCACCCCCCGAGACCGCCAGGGCCTGGGGAGGACGGGCGGGCCAGGGCCCCCTCCCCTCTCTCTGAGCCCAACCACCAGCCCTGTCTGAAGGACTCAGCCACAGGGTGGCTCTCAGAGGGGGTCCAGAAAAGCTCCCACCAGCTTCGCCCCAAGACCACCCCTCAGTTCAGCCAAGGCTCCTCCAGGGGCTGCGGTTCCCCGGGGCAGGCCTCACTTCAGCCCCCCCCCCAGCATCCCCCTGGAGGTGAGGAAGGCCCTGGGGAGGTAAGTCCCCCCGACAATTGTCAGCCACACTGCGACTCTGAATGGGCATGAAAGCAGCCCAGGTCACAGTGAGATGCCTAAGCAACACCACGGCCAGGAGATGGCTGAGACGGCCTCCAGAGTGCTGAACCGGCCTGGGCTCCATCCATGCCCGGCCCCCGCCAGGGGTGTGGCCACACCCCGTCCTTATCCTCTCCAGGCTCACCTCCCCCTGCCGTCCACCTGGCTTTCACTTCTGTGCCTCCGGCTCTGCCGGCGTGATCAGGGTGTGCTCTCCACAGCCCAGGGAACAAAGCGGGTATGGACATCATTCCCGCCTTCCACGCTTCGGAAGGCACAGGCCCAGGCCCCACCCAGCCAGCTCTGCCCCTCACCAGCCTGCAACCCTGAGCCCCTGGCCTCTCTCTCACAACCGTCAGAGCCGTGAGTGGTTTCTCGGGAGCGGAGACCACCAAGGACTCAGTGTCGTCTCTGGCAGGCAGGCAGGGCTCCTCGCGGGGGCTGGTGTCGCTGTCCCTCCTGGTGGGGAACCTGGGTCCCCCTCTGTAACGCCCCCTCTGTAAGTTGCCAAGATCCAGGCCCCTCAGTGGCAGCCCTCACAGAGGGTGAAACCGCCAGGAAATGAGGACCACCTGACCCCAGGGCACGGGGAGTCACGGCAATGCAGGGGCGCCCCTCTGCCGGCCCGCAGGCCACCCCAGGGACACCAGAAAACCTCCTCCACCCTGCCTCGCACCGTGCCTCCTTCCCACCTGGGTGCTTCCGTTGAACTCAAGTCAACACCCAATAAACACAGCCGTGGCCCCAGAGTGCCACTGGGATCTCTAGACAGAGACCAGAGCCAGGGGGAGTGACCACGGAGCCCAGGGTGGGGGAAGCGACAGCGCAGGAGCTGGCCAATTGGAGCTCGCTGGGCCGGACCCCGGGCTGCCACATTCTGGCCTGCAGCGTCTCTCAGCAAAGTTTGCTCTCGCGTAAACACAGCAGCCGACTCCGAGGAGCCGAGGAACCGACACAACGGCGCCCCGGACGCATGGGCAAGGGGGGGCAGGGCTCCGCTGCGCCCATCACCGGCTCGTCCTCCTCCCTGTAGCCCTGGACCCCCGGGCTGGCCACGCCAAGGGCTGCTCTCTGCTTGTCGTAAAGACACAGGGACTCGGACAGGGCCACTCCGGGGGCTCCGTCGGGCAGACCTGGCCCGGGGCCTCACCTGTAAGTGGCCACCTCCAGGCTGAGGCCGTTCTTCACCTTCACGAGATCCTGATGGTCCCGCAGCCGGTCAGCCATGGCCAAGGTGAGTGCCGCCTTCTCATCCTCCAGGCCGGCAATCACGCCCTAGAAAGACAGAAGGGCCTCGAGGTCAGAGGACGCGAGCTTTACTGGGTCCAGGCAAAGGTGCCAGCAGTCGAGGGCACACAGAACCATCAAAAACCGCCAGGCCTGTTCAACACGCAGTCGCTGCCAGGGTGGCTTCAGACGCCGGGTCTTTTCTCACCGCACACGGCAGACATCTGCAGAACGCTGGCTTCCCCGCTCAGGGTCTCAGCAATGAATTCTGGGGTCGGGACTGTGGCACAGCAGGTAAAGCTGCCATCAGGGATGCCGGCATCCACGTGCACACCAGTTGCAGCCTCAGGTGCTCTACCTCCGATCCAGCTCCCTGCTGATGTGCCTGGCAAAGCAGCGGAGGATGGCCCAAGTGCTTGGGCCCTGCACCCACCTGGGAGACCCGGAGAAGCTCCTGGCTCCTGAGTTGGCCCAGCCCCGACTGTTGCAGCCATTCAGGGAGTGGATGGCAGATCTCTCTCTTTCTCTCTCTCTCTCTCTCTCTCTCTCTCTCTCTCTCTCTCTCTCCCCGTGTGTATGTGTGTGTGATTCTGGCTTTCAAATAAATAAATCTTAAAAAAAAACATTCTCATGAGGTTATTCAAATTATCCCACAGTTTAGACAACAGGTCCATGTAGGGACCAGAACGTCCCGTCATCTAAGATGCTACAGACCAGAAATCTGGGGTTTCCCAGTATTTCAAACACGAGCCTCTCTGATCTGAACTAGAAGTTCCCCAGAGTATGGCCAGAGCTGTGGCTCAGTAGGTTAATCCTCCGCCTTGCGGCGCCGGCACACCAGGTTCTAGTCCCGGTCGGGGTGCCAGATTCTGTCCCGGTTGCCCCTCTTCCAGGCCAGCTCTCTGCTGTGGCCAGGGAGTGCAGTGGAGGATGGCCCAAGTGCTTGGGCCCTGCACCCCATGGGAGTCCAGGAGAAGTACCTGGCTCCTGGCTTTGGATCAGCGCGGTGCGCTGGCCATGGTGGCCATTGGAGGGTGAACCAATGGCAAAGGAAGACCTTTCTCTCTGTCTCTCTCTCTCTCACTGTCCACTCTGCCTGTCAAAAAAATAAATAAATAAATCAAAAACTTCCCCTCTTAAAAAAAAAAAAACACCCTATGTTACCCTGTTTTAGTGAGACTAGAAACTCAGGTATAAGATTACAATATCAAATGCTCCGTGTGTGTGTGTGTGTGTGTGTGTGTGTGTGTTTGTACACGCGCGTGTGCGCATGCTCTCTAATACAGGAAATCGGATCTAGACATTAGAACTCGAGAATTTGTAGTAACTTATGCTTTACGAAGCAACCCAGGATTGTTGACCTGCTTGGAGGACCAGCGTGTGGCCCAGCGGGGTAAGTCACTGCTTGCAACACCCACATCCCACATCTAAGGGCCAGGTCAGACCCCGGCTCTGCCATTTCCAATCCAGCTCCTTGCTAATGCGCCTGAGAAAGCAGCACAAGATGGCCCAGGTACCCGAGGCCCTGCACCCGTGTGGGAGACCCGGATGGAGCTCCTGGCTCCTGGCTTCAGCCTGGCCCAGGCCCAGTTGTTGTGGTTATGTGGTTATTTATTTATTTATTTTTTTGACAGGCAGAGTGGACAGTGAGAAAGAGAGACAGAGAGAAAGGTCTTCCTTTGCCGTTGGTTCACCCTCCAATGGCCGCCGCGGCCAGCGCGCTGTGGCCGGCGCACCGCGCTGAACCGGTGGCAGGGGCCAGGTGCTTCCTTCTGGTCTCCCATGGGGTGCAGGGCCCAAGTACTTGGGCCATCCTCCACTGCACTCCCTGGCCACAGCAGAGAGCTGGCCTGGAAGAGGGGCAACCGGGACAGAATCCGGCACCCCGACCGGGACTAGAACCCGGTGTGCCGGCACCACAGGCGGAGGATTAGCCTAGTGAGCCGCGGCGCCGGCCTGTCGTGGTTATCTGGGGAGTGAACCAGAAGATAACCTGTTCTCTCCCTCCACACGCCCCCCTCCCCTTCATTGTCACTCTGCCTTTCAAATAAATCAATAAACTGACTCAATCGATCAATCTGGTTTTTAAAAACTGCTTAGAAAAAAACATCAAATGAACTCAATTCTCCAGCCACAAACCTAGGCAGGACAGGATTTCCCAGGCTTGGCCCAGGGGAGTCTCTCCTTCCAAGATACACAGAGAAGACCCCAGAAAATATGAAGAGGAAAACCCAGCTGGGTTTAGGCTGAGATAAGGACTGTTCTGAGCACATTTCCCCGTCCGTGAGTCCACTCTCCCTAAGCTGTGAAAGGAAAGTTGGTCAGCTCCCGGAAGCAAGGCTGCCTGCTTCCAGTGGCTTCCAGTGGCTTCCAGTGGCTTCCCCAGGGCTGCTGGCCGAGAGAAGCTGCAGACAAGGGCTCAGCTTTGCCAAAGGTTTTCCAGCTGCGGGCCAAGCCCAGGCTCTGCAGCCCCAGGGCCGAGAAGTGAACCCAACCCCCCCAGAAGCGGTTCCCTGGGTGCTGCCGAGGCCTGGGGAGGCGCCCCTCTTCCGCAGCATCGCTAGAGGCAGTGAAGTGAGCTCCACACCAGGAAAAGCGGCTGCCGTCCGTGCCACAGCCCTGACCTTCTATCCCCAAACCTGAGCGCCCCTTGTTGGGACAGCCATGAAGACGGTGCAGAAAGAGCCTACAAGTGGCCTGTCACTTAGAATGCTGACGGTTAGAGCCCCAGGTGGAAGACTGTGACAACCCCATGCAAGCACGCCCCAGGTGCCCACCATGTGCTCACAGCTCCAGGCCAGCAGTGCCCTAACCCCTGGTGGCCATCTCACACCAGGCATGCAAGCTCCCACCCACAGTGGCCCTCCCGCACCCGCCCTGCAGCACCCTCTCCCTCCAGCTGCTGGGGCCGCCAGCCGGGAGCCAGCTGTCATTCTTCCTCCATCTCTGCACCAGTGGCAAGCCCTGCAGGGTTCCCTTCTCAGCCCCGGGTCTGGGCCTCCTGCCTTGACTATCACAACAGGCTCCTAACAAGGTCTCCCGGCTCCCGGTATCTAGAGACAGAGTCAGGTCCCAACCCCCTCCGCTAAGCAGCCCCTGTGGCTTCCCATGGAGCTAAGAGTCCAGGCGCTGCCCCTACCCCCTTGCAGACTGCACCCCAGCCACCCTGGCCCCCAGCCATGCCCTGCCCCCAGCCATGCCCTGCCCCCAGATCTCCGAGGTCAAGGAGCTCCTTCTGTTTTGTTTTCTACTGCTCTCCCCAGCCACTGCGAACAGAGTTGGGCACACAGAGCGTCACGGCTGTGAGTTGAATGAATGAACTTTTGAACTCGACAAGCCCCAGGAGCCACTTTCATGTCCCCTATAACACAGATATGGAAACTGAGTCACAGAAAGGTTAATGAACATAGCCCGCTCATAGAGGTCCCATTCTCCCAGAAGTGCAGCCCAAGTGAATGGTTTTTCTCCCAAGCTACAGGGGGAGCGCAGAGGCTGGTACACTGGGTGCAGGGTGGGGGGTGGGGCCACCCTGCCAGTGCCCCTAACTCCCACTCCTGCCCAATGGAGCAGGGCCCTAAAGCACAGGGACACAGAAACAGCGGGTGAAGGAGATTTAATGCGGGAACGACTGACAAGTCGGGAGGCTCTGAGCACCCTGGGATTGCCAGCTAACGGGGCACCTCGGGCAGTCCTTTAGAGGGGCAGGAACCTCAATTTCATTCCTGCGACACGGGGCGGAGATGGGCACCCACCTCTGAAGACTGGTGGGAGGACTGAGAGTGAGCAGGTGTGAAGGGCACACAGGATGCGCTTCGACCACAGTAACAGAACGTTTCTCACGCAATAGTAGTTACCCTCGTGTGCTGCAATAACATCTGGAGAAATTGAAGGCTGGGGGCTGGATCGACCGCCTGCTCTTTAACACAACCCCCGCCGCTTTCCTGATGGCTGTTGCGCCTTTGGGATGCAGTTTGAGACACAGTTACTCTGACCCTGCAGGGGAAAGACTCAGGACGTGGCAAGGAGAGCGAGCGGGAACAGCCACAAACCGGTCCCTGCCGGCACTGTGCTTGCTCTTCAAGTTTAGGACATGGGAGCCAACGCCAGGGAGACAGAGGTGTCCCTGGGCGGGGCACTGAGGCCAGGTGTGAGCTCAGCACCCGCACCTCCCAGCTGGGCTGCCCAGGGTGCTAGCGGCCCTTGCACTCCCCAGCTGCCCTTCAGTTAGACTGCCCACATCCGGCTCAGCCGTGGGGTCCTGGTGACGATCCCGTGAGGGGCGAGGGTTCTACAGGTAAAAGAGCGCCCAGAAAGGTGGGGGCCCAGTGAGCCGAGCTTCCGCCACGCAGCGACGGTGAAGGGCGCCCAGAGCAGTGGCACCCACGCTGGCTGGCACGGCACAGCCCTGGGGCAGGGGACAGGGAGGGGTGCTCTGGGCAGCGCGCTTGGGAGACGGTGTTTTGGAGTCACAACACCCATTGGTGAGAAGCTCCCTGGAAGGTTGCCTTAAGACAGCTTTTCACTGGCTCAGCAGGGAGCTCAGGGCCCCGTGGAGCCTCTGGAAATCACCGCCCGCTGTGGCCAGGCCCCACCCTCGCTCCACCTGCACTCAGTGTGGACAACGAAGAGGTGGAAGCCAAACAAAACCTTCCACCAGCAAGACGATATCCCAGACAACACAGCACCTCGTGCTGCCTGGTTCCCCCTGGATCTCCAGCTCTCTGAGGCCCGTGCATGGAGCCAGGGGCTGGGAATTGACCACCTGACACCTGCTGGTTCCTTGACACTGTCTGCCATCGCCCACCCCCCCCCCCCCATTCCACACCCACCCCACGACTGTTGCAAAAAGCACAAGAATCACTGTCTCACCTCTTCCACCCACAGCTGCACAGATTGTGTGGACGTTATTTCTAACCACCATCCGCTAGCACAAGCTGGGATGACTCCCAGTTCTGGCCGGCCAGGGCCAAAGGCCAGGACTGGACTGAGTGTACAGACCATAAATCAGGCCCAGGTGGCAGAGCCCTGCTCCTCTGAAATAGTAACTGTGTACATCAGCCCGCGCTTGTAATAACATCCCGTTCGTTCGCTCAGGAGCCTGATTTCCCACAAGCCTCGCACCGCCGGAGACTCTGCCCCGGGGTTGCGCTTGAGAGCGAAATGCCTCTGATGAGGCGCTCAGCTGCGCCAGGGCTGCCCCTATCCAGGAACCCACAAGGCAGCCCCCACCCCACCCCGGGAGCCACAGCTGGGAACTCAACCCGGCCAAGCACAAACCGTTTTGGAAACCAATTTCCAAGCCCGCCGGGGAAGGCCTTCGGGCACACGGTGGCTGGGCGGGGACGGTGGAGCTGTCATTTGGGGGGCGGGGGGCTGTCGGTTCACTTTTAGGCTCAGGTCTAGTGGGTATCCGAGGTACGAGGAGGGGCTCGATGCACCAGCCACGCTGTCACCTACCAAGAGGACAGGCCGGGGCCTGCCCCTGGATGGACCCACGAGGGCCCGCTCCTTCCGGAGCTGCCAGAGTGCACAGCGGCTCCCAGCGCCCCGGTGCCGCCGCCACCAGGGCATCCTCTGGGCGGGCCCCTGCTGTGCCCCGACCCCCAGGCGCACCGACCTGGAGCTCCTCGGCGCGCAGCCCGTACTCCTCGCGCCTCCGTAGCAGCTCGTCCTCCAGCCGCGCGCGCAGCTGCTCCAGCTCCAGCGCCTGGCGCCCCAGCGCCTCCACCTCCTGCGCGCACAGCCGCGCCTCCTCCTCGGCCTCGCGCCGGCTCTCCAGGCCGCGCCGCAGCACCTCCTCCAGCTCGCGCACCTCGGCCTCGTACAGCTGCGCCGTCTCCTGCCACGACTCGGCCGCCAGCAGCGCGAAGCTGTCGTGCAGCTCCCGCAGGCGCGGCGGGGGCGCGGCGGGGCCGGCGGCGCGGGCGCGGTAGTGCAGGGTCAGGCTGGCGGCGCGCGAGCGCAGCTCCCGCACGTCGCGATCGTGGGCCGCGTGGAGCCCGTCGCGCTCGGCCTGCAGCCGGCCCAGCAGCGCCTCGAGGGCCGCCCGCGCGTCCAGCGCCTCCTGCAGCTCGCGCCGCTGCGCGCCCAGCTCGGCGTCCAGGCGGCCGCGGGCGGCGCGCTCCTCTCCGCCCAGCTGCTGCAGCTCCCGCAGCTCACGCCGCAGCGCCTCGCACTCGCCCTCGGCCAGCGCCGTGGTCCAGCTCAGCTCGTCCAGCTGCTGCCGCAGGCCGTGCGCCTCCTCGGCGAAGCGGGCCTGCCCCTCGGCCCACGCGGCCTCCCGCGCGTTCCGGCACCGCAGCTCCTCCTCCAGGAGCAGGTTCTCGCGCTCCAGCTCCCGCACCCGGCACACGTAGTCGTAGAGCCGCGCGTTGAGTTCCTGCAGCTCGGCCTTCTCGGCGCCCGTGTGCAGCCGCCAGGACAGCATCGTGCTGGGCGTGTGCGGCTCCCCCCGGCCCGCCGCGCTCCTCCTGCCCTGGTTGTGTCCCCGCCGCCTCTCCGGCCCCGCCGCGCCTCTCCGGCCCCGCCGCCGCCGCCGCCGCCTCGGAGGCCCGCAGACTGCCGTGGGAGCCTCCCGGCCGCTGCACTTACAGGGCGCGGCCCACGGCCTGCAGCCAATCAGAGCGCGGCCCGGTGCGGTCGCCGCGGCCGCAGGGCGCCCCCTGCCGGCCCGAGCGCGGCGCCGCGCGCAATCTGTCCGGGGACCCGGGTGGAGGGGAGCCTGGGCGGCCCCCATGAGACGCACCGCTGTCCCGGCGGCTGCGGTGACACCTGCTGGTGACAGCTGCTGGGCCGCGGAGCAACCTGTCGGGGGATCTGGCGGAGTGGAGCCAGGGAGGCCCGGGGAGGCCCTGCTGGTGACACCTGCTGGGCCGCCGAGCTGCCCGTCGTGGATGGGGGAATCCTCATCCAAGTACTTGAAGATTGGGGGCTTTTCCATTTAAAAACATTATATGCATACGTGATATATTGATACATTGTCGTACATATGCACACAGACGTGTATTAAATAGTCTCTTTCAGGATATAGATACTTTGATATTCAGGTGAGACGTTTCTCTCCTAACAGTTGAGTATCTGGAGTATCAGTTGTTACTTCATATATGTATGTATGTGTGTGTGTGCACGCATGATATTGAATATAATATAATATAATACCTCCTGGGACGTTACACTTTCCGGTGATGGTTTCTTTTGTTTGGATTAAGAACTTAAGGAGAAAGGACAACTTCACAGATACCTGGCATCTGGATTTCAGTGACTTACCCAAGGGCCACAGTTAAGCTGAGGAGAAGTAAGTAGAGGCTGTGCGCAGGAGAGCAGCCAGAAACATGCCCGCTGGGAGGGCAGGGGATGGCTGATCAGAGGAGAAAGGTCCTCACGGAGGGGATGAAGACGCCGCCAGGGACCCAAGACAGTGAGAAGCGGGCAAGCGCTGGCTGAGCCTGCGGGAGCCTGGGGCTCTGGCAGAGGGGGTCCCTGGGGCACAGGCGCTGCAGATGCAGCCCGACACCCCCCCCCCCCAGCTTCCTGCCCTCCCACCTCCTGCCCTGCGGAGGCAGAAGTCACCAGGCCCGGCTCCCGCTGGCTACTGAGTCCCAGCCGTTAGCTTCTCAGGAATTTTGTGAACCATTGTTAAGCAGCCATTGCTGAACGTTAAAGTACAGTAGTTTAACCATACAGAAAGTGGAGATACTCAAAACTTATCACTTCCTGATTATCTTCCTACGATCTGCTCTTGAATTCTGCATGACACGTGCACACGGATCTTGGAAATGCTATTTAATGAGCCCAACTGAATCCCATGTCCCCAGGCGTCTGATTGGTAGCTGGTGCACAGTGAAGGTCAGTGACGTCTCACTGAGCTGATGTGTTGCTTTGCTGGCTGCCTAGCCTGGAGAAAGTGGCGAGAAGACGCTAACAATGCAACTTAGACTTAGCGGTGGGTTGTGTCTGTGGCAGCTGAATTGTGAATAGCACGAACATTTGCACACTATTCTCCAGTGTTTCAAAACCACGATCTAGACCGGCAAAGCCGTTGCGTCGTGAGATTTCTTAGTTGCCTGGCCCGTGTCTGTCAAGGTCAGCAAAAGTGCTACCCAGCATTTGCGTCATGCTGCACGCATCCACCAGCTGCAGCCACACGTGAGGAGCGCTGCGAGCATCAGTCTGCTCTGTGGGGTTTCCGACTGGACTTACAGCACGTTTCACGACTGCTGGTAAGAAAATTCGAAAGCTGGGGCAGCAGGAAGACCGGCAGCATCCCGCGGCAGAGGGTGGGTTCCAGGCCTGGCTGCTCTGCTTCCAATCCAGCCTCCTGCTAATGTGCCTGCGAAGGCGGAGAATGATGGCCCTGGTACTTGGGCCACTGCCCCACATGTGGGAGGCCTGGAGGAAGTTCCTGGTGTCAGCCTGGCCAAGACCTTGGCTGTTGAGGCCATTTGGGGAGTGAACTAGCAGATGGAAGATCTCTCTCTCTCTCTCTCTCTCCCTCTCCCTCTCTCTCTCTCTCTCTTCCTTTCTGTCACTCACTCTGCTTTTCAAATAAATAAATAAATCCTTTTAAAAATTTTTGTAAGCTGCATCAGTGTTGCTACCGTATTAATAGGCATTTCTGTTCATAACTCAATGGCAAAAATAACCCTGCAAATTTCACTTCTTATCGCTGTTCTATTCAATAAAGCAAACAATCTAAACTATACGAATAAAAACATATATATTAGGGGAATATGTGTATATCTTTCACCATGGGATTCAATAAAATAATCTTTTCTCTGAATGGGAAAAAGGCCTATAAATTTTTGTTGTTGTTTTCTAGAATTGGTCTAAAATTAAAAATTCACTGCTCACCCCTGTGGTGTGGCAGTGGCTTAGAAGGAAATTGTTCAACAACAGCCCTCTTTGGCAGGTTCTCCGCCTGTGTCTGATTTCCCATAGAACCACGGCGAAGCACGGGGGCAGCCGGGCTCGGGAGCAGCGCCCCTGGAGGCGAGCGGGAGGCACTGCATGAGGACCGGGAGCCCAGCGGGGCGGCCCTGGGAGGTGGCCATGGTGGGTCCTCCCCGGCCTGGAGAATCCCAGCTCTGGAAATCATCCGGGGTGGGAGGGGGGACCGCAGGCATGGGGTCCCCGACCCCGGCGCGTTCCCTCTGCTCACTGCCCCAGGGGAGCACTCTGCGAATGCCCAAAGCCAAAAACCCTGCTTTCGGACAGACCTCGACCTCCCCAGTCCGGATGTCCAGCCCTGGGGAGGACTCCGGCCGGCAGGTCCGGGAGCACCATCCTTGCTGGGCAGAGCTTGGCCAGGAGAGAGCAGAAGTCCAGTTCTGGGGGAGGGCCCAGGGGCAGCCTCAGGGAAAGGCTGGGCCTGGCCCTGGGGAGACGACCCAGGCACCCAAAGGCTGCGCACCGCCCGGAAGGGCAGAGCATCACAAAGCAGTGAGGGCAGCCATGCGGGGCCCCAGCCTGCTCCAGGGAGTCCTTGTGCAGTCCAGAGAAAGGCCCCTTTCTGCACAGCTGGAGGTGGCCGCAGGTGCAGGAGCTGGCCGCAGGCGACCCCTACTGCTAATGAGGCTTCCCTTTGGGTGGGAGCAGCCGTGCACTCCCCTCCATGACTTGGCCTGGATCTCAGTGCCACCCGTCCTCTCATCCAGACACGCTTGTGCAGTGCACGACTCATTCGGCTGTCCCTTGTGCCCCTTTGCTCCAGCCTCCACCTTCGCAGATAAAGAACAAACACTTTTTGGATGGCTACTCATGGCCGGGTGACAGGAGGATGGGGTAGGTGCCCAACCCTAGCACCTCGGTACCAAGTCCTAACAAGTGCAGTGCCGTGGGGGAGGGGCCTCGTCACCCTGAACTGGGAGAAATTGAGTTTCCATCCCCGTGGTGAAAATAGGCCATCAAAAGAGAAATCAGGTAGAAATTCAGAAAAATCAAGTCTGTCATTTTCCTTGCGCACCTAAGTTTGTGGGCGGGGAGGCACGCCCGTCTCCGACAGGTTTGACCAGGTAGGAAATGAAACAGTACGAATGGGGGACGCACCTGCTGGCTGCCCACAGAGGAACAGGGCACACTGAGCTGCCTCCTCTCCCAGCACCTGGCCTCACTGTGACCTGGAGGAGAGCCCCTCCCCCGTCTGCCTCCTCATCCTTGTAGTAAGAACAAGACGGCACCTTCCCGGGTGGTGTGCAAGGCCCAGGTTCTGGCTGTTGTGCTCTGGCGTTCCCGGAGGGTGCGCGACAGTGCAGACTGCTGGGGCCGTGGTGCAGTGCAGCAGGTGCAGCCGCCACCTGTGATGCCAGGGTCTCATACGGGCGCTGGTTCCAGTCCTGGCTGCTCCACTTCTGAGCCCGCTCCCTGCTGATGTGCCTGAGAAAGCAGTGGGAGCTGGCCCAAGTGCTTGGGCCCCTGGCACCCATATGGGAGACCCAGATGGAGTTCCTGGCGCCTGGCTTTGGCTTCATCCAACCCAGACTGCTGTGGCCATTTGGGGAGTCAACCAGTAGATAAAAAATTCTCTCTCTCTCTCTCTCTCTCTCTCTATAACTCTGCCATTCAAACAAATAAATTTTTTTTTTTAAAAAAAGAACTAAAATTGGCCAGCGCTGCGGCTCAATAGGCTAATCCTCCGCCTAGCGGTGCTGGCACACCGGGTTCTGGTCCCGGTCGGGGCACTGGATTCTGTCCCAGTTGCCCCTCTTCCAGGCCAGCTCTCTGCTGTGGCCTGGGAGTGCAGTGGAGGATGGCCCAAGTGCTTGGGCCCTGCACCCCATGGGAGACCAGGAGAAGCACCTGGCTCCTGGCTTCGGATCAGCGCGGTGCACCGGCCGTGGCGGCCATTGGAGGGTGAACCAATGACAAAGGAAGACCTTTCTCTCTGTCTCTCTCTCTCTCACTGTCCACTCTGCCTGTCAAAAACAAAAACAAAAACAAACAAAAAAAGAACTAAAACGAGAGTAAATTGGCCTGTAAAAAAGGCAGCTCCTTGCTCTTACTGCAAGCAACAGGGGGGCACCGGCGCTTTCTCATGGGCTGGGGGTCTGGGGAGTCTCTCCCAGTGCAGCCACACTGTGCAGCTTCCTCCCTCGCCGCCACTGCCAGCCACTCCCCGTCTGCCCCACGCTGCTCCCACCCAGTCCCATGACAGGCAGGTGTGTTGCTCCCGCCCCCACTGCACCTTGGGCCGGGGCTCTGGCTGAGACGTGATCCCCTGTGTCTGCACTGCCACCGGGGAGCCACGGTGGTCCTTGGCTCCCTGGGTATCAGCATACATTTGGGCCCTTCAGTAGGTACCCAGCCACTCAGAACAGCAACGAGTTTTCCCCTTTGCTCTGTGTCAGTGCTGCAGTCTACTGGGGAGGGAAGCTGGGGAATCAGAACTCTTTTGCTTGCCCTGCAGGTTGCTGGGTTCTTCCTTCAGCTGGTGCTTTCTGGGTCTGAGAGCAGACGCAGGCCTGGAGGCAGGGAAAGGGTGTGTCCCCAAGCCCCCTGGGGGACATTGTCAGCCACGGTGGGGGGGTTCTTCTCTTCTGCCCCCTTCTCTGGGCTCTCTGGCCCTCCCTGCACCTGCC